TGAACACGTAACTGTCGAGGGCGTTTTTAAATTCTTCGACGAATTTTTCGCACGGTCTCCCAAATATCAGGAGCATCTGGAATGCATTCCTTCATTTTAACAAAAGGTAGTAATAGTCATTACAATCATTAAGAAGTATGCTTCAGTTTTAGAGTTTAGATAAACCTCGTGCACAGAGAGAAATTTCGACACAAAAGTTTGGTTAATACGTTCGAAAGTTTGGTAAAACACAAAATAACCCTAGGCTCCGGTTGAAAATTTCAAGAGAATGCCAGCTAGTTTTCTTGGAGTTTGATAAAAAATGAGTGGTGAATACGAACATCGCAATCGGAGGAATGAATTTTCCAAGCCTCTCCATTGTTCCCGGCGCTGAATTTGCCGTAAACTGTGCCAAAATCAACACAAAATTTGTGTTGGTTTGTGTTTCACTTTCTATAAAAACCAAAAGTAACACAAGAACACAAATATTTTAATCAGTGTGTGAGCTTTCGGTGGTCATCAAGTTTCTGATAAAACACAAATTTTTTGGGAAGCTTTTGAATATTTCCGTCCTAGTTTCCGGCGAATTTTATAGGCAATTCGATAAGAAGTATCCAACAATTTCGAGGAAAAATATTCATAATCCTTTAAAAACATTGACTGCTGAAGTGCGAAATCGCGTATTTCCGTTGACGACGGCGCAAACTTCCAGGCATGCTTATTTTTTTCTTTAGAAAACTAGTCAGCATTATTCTCCTCTAGTGAGAGAATATTCCTAGCAGAATTTCTTGGACTTGGCTTGTCTCTGTTTAAAAATTTAAAATAGGAGCAGAAATTCTGAAAAGCCGCAATGGAAATCCGTGGTTTCGCACTTTGGCCATCGATGTATACCTATTTTGAGGGAGAATTTGGAAAAATTCGTATGTCATTCGGCGATTTTTCTTGATATGACAATTCCTTGTTTCATCGAAAACCTGCATTGAACCCACGTTTCGGAATAAGCAAATTTTCAGGTGAAGAAACGACGATGGGTCAGGGTTAGGTGGACTGAGGGAGAAAATGATTGACTGATTATAAGGTCTCTCGTGGGTTGCCGTTAGTTAGTCTATTCCCCTCGTTTGTCAATTGCAACCACTGCTTTTACCTAAAGTAGAGTCCCTTTATACCGAGAGTTACGCATATCTCAATTCTGGTCGGGCTTGGTTGGGCTGAAGGTGACCTAAAAAAAATCCAATTCTGATTGGTTCTCGCTCATGGAGTCGCAAAAGAGTGCACCAAGATGGCGGTGGCTCAAATGTAAACAAAAATAATGGAAATATTACCTAATTGTGATTTATTGAGAGTAAATTGTTATTTTCATCGCACCAAAATGAAGATAGATTAGGATATTATTAACAAATCAATCTTATTTTATTTTATTGCAAAATTATTTGGTTGGATTTTGATCAGTTTTGTTGATGGTGTTGTTTTTGGACGACAAGCATCACAAGATTCCTTATCCTTATCCTTCAATATCGTGCGTTCGGGTGCACACTTTTATGACACCATGACAGCCCAAGCCGACTGATAATCGAGATGTCTTTAACTTTGGGTATAAAGGGACTCTAACCTATAGGATCGCTCCATGTACCTTTTGTCTTCTTTGTCTATAGCTTTGTCTATCAATTCCAACGATCAGTCCGTAGAGAAAATCAGTTTGTTTTCACTTACGTCATCTTCCTCACGAGGAACAACACTGATCGGGAAGGAGCGGCAGGACAAATTATGCGGTGCATTATCGCCATTCGGAGGATACAGCCCGGTCAAAAGACACTCGGCGCTTTCCACGCACCGATTGAACTCAATAGACAAAGTTCGAACTTGAGAGGCGTTGAATGTTGAAGGGAGAAAACCACCATACCGTTCTCGTAAGAATCGACCTAGTTTTAGTAATCCCCGTCTCCCTATCTGGAATCAGAAAGAGAATATTCATATTGTGATGATTTAAAGTTGATTAAAAGGAGGTTAATACACTGGCTAGAGTATACCTTAATAGAGAGAGTATGGCCACTTCGGTTTCCATCTCTGATTGGCTCGGCCATCATAGGCTAAATGGAGCCTTCCAGCACCCAAAAATGGCGGACCCTGTAAGTCAATGTAACTAGGGCTGGATTGAGGGGGTGGCCACATGGGCCGCGGCCCATATGGCGGCAAATCTAGGAGCGGCAAAAATTTGCAATTTTTTAAAGTGTAGGTATGAAAAAAGTCGGACTTATAAAAACAAAATTACAGACGAGAAAAGGCGACAAAATCTCTCATTTCCTGAGAGTATAGTTATTTCTAATTTTGTCGTCTCTTAATGATACAAGAGACAGCACCCTCAATGAGTCGAGTTGCGAGAGAAACCAAACACGCAATTTGGCCTAGAACGGCGCCACTTAGAGAGAAATGATAACGAGGACTTGAGATGAAAAGGAAAAGCTCTCGGCGCGGCGATCGGCATGTAACACATATTAGCGCCTACAAGACTGCAC